TGATTGTGTCCTTTTTTCACAATTTCAATTTTATATGCAAAAGTTAAACATGTTACGGATTATGTTATGCAATTCTTAGATAAGTTCAAAGTATCTTTTTGGTTATACGATCAGACCCTGGGCATGAATGTTTTCTTTTAGATATTTGTCGTATTCTTCGTTACCTCCGGTATTTGATTATGATTGTGTCTGCACATGTTCAGAAATCTTGTGTTCCACTCGTATATAAATTGTTGGTGTTAATCATAGTAATCGCAATTTGGTTTGGGAGTGAAAGCATTTTGGAAATGTTGGGCAAGTATGTCGCATTATTGGTGATCTGTTCTATATTCTATATTGTTATGATATATTGTTGGAATATCGCCGGTCTGCTTGTATTTTGTTATTTTCTTGATTTTTTGCCAATATGTTTTTCCGCAGTCCATTTCGATTTCCTTACATATTTTCAGCCATTGACAATTGATATTTGATATTTTGACCGCGCGAGGAAGTTCTAGAAATCTTGTAAAGTCTGTCAAGTTTGTGTTGATTAGAGCTAATTTGGAGCTCTGTATAAAAGTTGTTAAGTTTTCGATTACTTCTTCTATGTTGGTTTTAAGTAGATTATATTTTGATGTTTTACTTTGCGTTGAAAGTGTTTGATTGATGAAGATTTTGAACTTAATTGCTAATTGATTTGAACATAGATCGCCGTAAGGTTTATGTCTTTTACAATTTCGATGTTATTACCCGTGTGGTACATCTGGAGCGATGCTGGTAACATAAAAAATGTGGGATTTATACATCTTTTTATACAATTGGTGTTGTTCAGGAACGACTGCAATTGGTACGATGCTCTGTTGAAAACATTTTGTCCGAGGAGGGAATCAGGATGTATATACACAAGGAAGTTATAAATAAATTCTGAATTGAATGATATGGTGGAATGGAGACATTAATTGAGACATCTATTAATGAATTTACAATTTGCTTTGGCCAGATGGAACGTCGTTTAATGTCATGTAGTTTACAATCTTCTTCTCCGTTGTTTTAGTTTTTTAAATTATTTTATCTATTATTTATCTATTATTGAAAACTGAGGAAGAGTTCATTTAATTTTCACCTTATTTCAATTAACTCTTGCCTGTTGGAGTTTTTAGGTTTATTGAGTTCGTACATATAGGTATCTATCATATAACCATGCGTTCGGTTGGGTTGGGTTGAAATAGGCTTGTGTATTCTGGAAAGCTTTGTGATTGTGTCTTCAATTTCTTCGGTTTTTTGTTTATTGATTTGATTATTATTTCGTTTATTTCGCTATTTATTATTATTATTATTTCGTTTTCAATAACTCTAAGTTTGGCCATAATATCTTTAAATTTAGCCCCATTTCTGAAAGTTCTATCATGAATGTATTACAGTGCGTAAGGTCGAATGCTGTTGGTGCGGATGGTATTGGAATTCATTTTATTAAACTGGCTTGTCCTGTAATTTTATGTCATATAGTAAACATAATTAATACTTGTCTACTGGAGGGTGTTTTTCCTTCACTATGGAAAAGACCGATTGTCATTCCGGTACCTAAAGTGTCTAATCCTATTGATTATACTTCCTTGAGGCCCATAAGTATATTGTGTTCCTTGTCCAAGGTCTTGGAAAAGATTGTTAACAGCCAGCTGATAGACTTCCTGGACTTCGAGCGCATAATTCTTGTAAACCAGTCTGGCTTCAGGAAGGGACATGGATGTGAGTCTGATCTGAATAACATATAGTTGATGACATTGTCATAGCTACTGACCCTGTTAGGATTGCTGGACTTTTCGAAGGCATTCGATACACTTAATCATAATTTATTACTGAATTTATTACCATTCTTAAACATATTGGTGCCGACCCTGTTGCGCTGGATTTCTTCTTCAATTACCTTAAAGGTAGTATTCAATCTGTCTGTGTTGACGGTAACGTCTCGGGACCTTTGGAGATCTAGTCTGGGGTGCCGCAGGGCTCGGTATTGGGACCCACCCTGTTTAATATTTATACTATAAATTTTTAAATTTTTGTTGATTTTTGTCCTTCCCTGAAAGCCATTTTGAAGAAGGACTTAATGAGTTCAAGCGTGATCTGTTTAGTATTGTCAGTGGGGCTCGGGAATACTGTCTAAGAATTAATGAAAGGAAAACTCAAATGATCCTATTTGGTCCTACTAAATTGAAAAAATCTTTATCGACAGATTCTATCACATTTCGCTGGGAAATGTGCCTCTTCCTCTGAGTGGGTCTGTTAGGAACCTTGGCCTGATTATTGATGTGTCACTAAACTTTAGGGAACATGTTAATAAGCTGTTGAAGCGGGCTTATGGCTCTCTGAGATTGATTTTCAGTAATCGACATTACCTTGATAATTCTGTTAATAATAATAATAATAATAATAATATTCCTTTATTACCCAACAGGCATAGCCCAAACAAAAATTACAAAAAATTCAAGAAATTAACAATTGACCGAATTATAAAGAAAATAATAATAAAAACTAAATAAGTGAATTTACATGTATAAGTGAATTTACATGCAGGTGATCACTGATTGTCTGGAATCCTGTTGCCCACTTTACAGAGAGTGTATGTTGGCGCCCGTCTCATAATGTTTGTCCTAGCATAAGGAATGACGAATACGCAGCTATATCTTGAGTTACTCCTTGGAACAACAAACCCTAGTCGCTCAAGAATGAAAGGGCAATCGATGTTATATTCGATAAGCCTTTGTAGAAACCTTTCATAAAACGCGTTTGTTCTGTCCATCAAGGAAATCATATTGTGTCGTGCAAGCAAATCATTTTGTGGTTAAAAAACTCTTGTGTGACTCTCTCGTCTTATCACATTTTAATTATTGTGATAACATATTTGGTTCGTTTATTGACTCCCGCCATCAACAGAAAATTTAAAAGCTCCAGAATTCCTGTGTCCGGGTGATCTTTGGGTTAAGAAAGTATGATCATGTCTCTTTTGCTTTTAAGAAACTTAAATGGATAAATATGAAGTCGCGTCGGTATGTTCACAAAGCATATTTTTATTATAAGATAATTACAGAGCGGAGTCCCTCTTATCTATTCAACAGAATTAACTTTATAACGGACGTACACAATGTCCGGTTCAGGGGTAGGTTGACTCCTCCTTCCCATCGTTTGGAATTTTTTAAGAGATGCTTCTCATATCAAATTACATCTCTTTATAATAATCTTCCTAAACATTTACTGAGTCTATCCTTGAACCGATTTAAGAAATCTTTACGGGACTGGGTTTTGAGTGTGTGACTGGGCTCGTGCTTGGTGGCCTCTAGGGATAAGATTCTTGTATGATATCATTTGGACACTCTATAGTATAGTATGTGTGGCTAACTATTGTGCATGTTCGACATTAGCCTATGGCGGTGCTCAGTTGTCATTGAATTTTTTTAGTTTATTATTGTTTTTGATTTGGGTTTTAGTGGTAGAACAGGTGTTACCTGAACTCCGCCTAAATTCAGGCTTTAATGTATTTTATTTTACTTAGGCATGTACTTATCATTTTCTTTACCTTTGTATAGGTATAATATTTTTTTATATTTTCTTTGTACTTGATGAAGCCTGAATAAAGTTATTATTATTATTATAGAAGGAATTCCTTCTATTAGTTAGAAGAACTTCTGTATTTGAAAACTAGGCAGACCACATGCTAGGCAGGTTTCTGGTAGTGAGGTATTGCGTTTCGTTGTGTTGTGGTTGTCCTTGCGTCAAGTGACTAACGCAGTTTTCTGTGGTATGTGTAAAAACTGATTATTTTGAACAAGGTATAGGTGCTGGGAAAGTGCATGCTCAAGATATGATTATACAAAAAGTATAAGCTCTCTTTGACAAGACGCATAAAAGTATTATGATACGTTTAGAGCAATATTTTTCCCCAATATGAAATTACTAAGTGATTCTGTAACTCTCAGGTTCGATATTGAATACAGGGTGACTGGTACATAAACGTATTTATTGAAATGCAGTGTTATAGAGCTCATTTGCAATTGATTAAGCCAAATATGCCTTCAATAGTTTAGGAATTATTTCAATTTTTTGGTTTTTGTACATTTTCAATATATACTCCTACAAATATTGGAATTTAGAGTTTAATAATAGTTTTTTTTTGGCAACATGTTGACTTCTCTGGATATACTACACTCTCATACACATTTTAAGTTGAAAAATATTTTAAATATTTCGTTTGTTTAAAAATACAGGGAAAAATTGTTTCGTGACTTAAGTTAATTATTAAACTATTTTTTTATGAGCGTCCATTTCAAAATTTCAATAATACATTTGGCGTACAAATTATGTTAAAATATTCTCTGTTTTATAACCTTTCAAATGAGATATTTACCAAGGCCAAATGTCTTTCCAATTCTACGATTTTTATTTGTGGTTTTTGTAATTTTGATTAAAAAACCTTCTTTGTTGAAGGAAATGATGTAGTCGTTATTAGTTTTATTTTGACCATTGATATCGAAAATTTAACACGTTTTTTTTGCTATGGACTAGTTTTTTCGGAGAAGTTTCGTTTAGATCTTTCATGTTTACGTTTCCCGAGCGACTCTTCCAGTTCGCTCATTGATTTTGTGGTGCTGTCCCAACACTTGAGGGGTGTAACCTCAAGTAGTCGTCTAATTGGTAAATAATTTATATCTTATTAATTAATCGATCGCAAAGAAAATATCTACAACTATTGTTATCACGTAATTGTTATATGGTAGTTTACTTGTTTGTTCGAAACAAATATAAACAAGCTTCCCAATCTTGAGGTTGTAATCAATCAATTCCGCCAATATTATGTGCAAGTTTGACCACAACTGTGCTAACTAAGGATGCATGTTTACAGCTTACAACAATTATTTAACAACTATACCGCCTCAAATAGAGTTATTAGATTCAAAATTTAATTAAAACGGTTTTATTTCATATTGATAAAGTCGTCTGTGATTGTAATATTGACAGTTTGTTTATATTTCTAACCTTTCTATCTTGGTCGATAAAACCATCAAAAATTTCTGTTTTCTCCAAAAATTAATTTCAAAATTTTTTGTAATGTACCCGAACGAAGTAGCCCATATCAGTAAGACAATAATCGACTTGTTAATACTCGATGTTACGTTAATAACAATTAGTAAATTGAGTTCGGAGATAATCGATCGCGATCATATCAGTGTGATGAATGAGCGAACTGTGGATTTCCAAGAACTCAGAGATAGAGTTTACGACAAATATCCTGCATTGTATCTTTCAAACGATTACAAAATCTTCTGGGGGTATTCCAAAGATTATTTTATAGAAATCAACGATACAATAACATACGCCGCTGCTGTAAGGTGCATGACGAGTGGGATCTTTTTCATTTTGTTAAACGATTTCGAGGATACCTGGGAAGATAATTTATCGTTCCTTTTGGATTTAGACAGAAAAGAAGAGGAAGTACGAATTGAACGGGAACGAGACATTTATGATGTTAAAATTATTAGGAAAGGCGAAGAAAAAATTGTAAGCCACGAATCCACCGAGACGACAACAACTAAAGAACCAAGAAAAATTCGGACGGAATCGGAAATATTAGCTTACGCTATGAGAAACGAACCAGAACCATTTTGTTACATCACCGATCGTTACCTAGGGAAAACCTTAATAAGCGACATGCAGAAAGGTATTGTAATTAATTTTCCCTGCGGATAAATGCGGCACACGTTTATTATTAAGATAAACTCAGTACGTGTTTGCGCTAAAACGGCATAATACTACATTCAACCAACACAACACTCTACATCACAGAGTGCTTTAACTAAATTGCCGTGTTAGTTATTCCTGCATCTTACGTAAACCACGGTTTAGATAAAGATATTACTGCAATTTGCAAATGCGAACTCAAAGAGATTACATAAACAACTACATATATAATAATTGTTTAATTGTAATTATAGGTTATCCGAGGTTTAAGATAAAACTTAGACTTTTGCCCGATGTTCAATTTGAAAAACGTGCTTCTAAAGATGCAAAAGGAAAGCAAGCGAAACCTAATAAAAAGAAGAAATAGAAATAATCGAAAAAAAATTTAATGTTGAATGTTTGTATAAAATTGTAATAGTAACATGGAAACACATTTTGTGGTTAAATGTAATTAATGTCCTTCCATTATACTTTAAAAATTAGATTCTCGTACATTTAATCTCTTCCGGTCGTCGTTTTTTATTTCTACTGACATTGACAAAGTTCTAAGCGAAACTGCCCTCTAAACCGAGTGGTTTTGTATGTAACCGTCGCCCTCCTAAACGATCCGAGCAAAAAGCCAGAAAAAAATCCGGCTTCTGTGTAACTCAACTGCAAAACTGACCCCCTTCCCGGATAATTAGGGGTGCCGGCAGATCAATGGCTGTGTCGATGGTGAATTATTGATTGGCAAAGCCGTCGAAGTGGAACGCTTTCAAAATGACCGTTTCATCCCCAGCACAATAACCCTTTGTGACTTTATTAAACGCAGATGAAAGGTTAAAAATTCTTTTCAAAGCTGCTTCTTACTGCTCCTGTCGCTACGATCTCGCACATGTTGTAGGTAATCTCACTTCAAAGAGTAGAAAATTGCTTTTCTTTAACGCTATAGGCACTTGGATCGTTTATACACCTTTCTTGTAAATGAAAAACTTTTTTAAATATATAGCTTGTAAATATTGAAATATTAACTTAAATCGAAACTGTATTAAATTTACTATAAAATGAATTATACTTCGTCTTGATATCTCAATTAGTTTTTGTGATATGATACTTTCTAAATTAGCAAATTTATCCCGTCTTGAGTGTATGATATGGAAAGATGAATTAAAAAAATTATAATTTCGAATTTTGTAGAAATAATGAAACGATTTTCTACACATTAAATCTTAGTTCGATTTACTTTAGAATGGTTCTTATCTCATGAAGATATCTCAATTCGTTCTTGAGATACGCTTCCATACATTGCAATTTAATCGATATGACCTCAATACCGCTGGGTTGAAATAGGAAAATTTTATCATCGGGATTTATAGAAACGAAGGAATTACTTTTATGGTGTAGAAACTATATTAAATTTGTTATAAAATCAACGTTATTTCATTTTGATATCTCATTTACTTTTTGAGATGTGATTTTTATAAAATTTGCAAATATAAAGTTATCCCGTCATGAGTGGATGATATACAGAGATGAATTGAAAAAATCATAATGTTGAAATTTGTAAAAATAAAGAAACGATTTTTAACACATTCATTCTTAGTTAAGTTTACTTTGAAATGGTTCTTATCTCATGGTGATATCTCAATTCATTCATGAGATGCAATTCCATAAATTGCAATTTAATCAACATAACCTTAATACCGCAGAGTTGAATTAGAATAATCGTATTAGCGGGATTTACAGAAACTAACGAATTATTTTTGTGGTGTAGAAACTATATTAAATTTGCTATTAAATGAATGTTATTTCGTTTTGATATCTCATTTACTTTTTGAGACATAATTTTTCAAAATTAGCAAATATAATCTTATCCCGTCATGAATGGATGATATACAAAGATGAATTAAAAAAATCATAACGTTGAAATTTGTAGAAATAAAGAAACGATTTTCAACTCATTCATTCTTAGTTAAGTTTACTTTAAAATGGTTCTTATCTCATGGTCACATCTCAATTCATTCATCAGATGTAATCCCATAAATTTCGATTTAATCAATATAACCTTAATATCGAAAAGTTGAATTAGAGTAATCGTATTATCGGGACTGACAAAAACTAACGAATTCTTCTTGTGGTGTAGAAACTATATTAAATTTGCTATAAAATGGACGTTATTTCGTTTTGATATCACATTTACTTTTTAAGATATGATTTTTCCAAAATTAGCAAATATAAACTTATCCCATCATGAATGGATGATATACAGAGATGAATTAAAAAAATCATAACGTTGAAATTTGTAGAAATAAAGAAACGATTTTCAACTCATTCATTCTTAGTTAAGTTTACTTTAAAATGATTCTTATCTCATGGTCACATCTCAATTCATTCATCAGATGTAATCCCATAAATTTCGATTTAATCAATATAACCTTAATATAGAAAAGTTGAATTAGAATAATCGTATTATCGGGACTGACAAAAACTAACGAATTCTTCTTGTGGTGTAGAAACTATATTAAATTTGCTATAAAATGAACGTTATTGCGTTTTGATATCTCAATTACTTTTTAAGATATAATTTTTCCAAAATTAACAAATATAGACTTATCCCATCATGAATGGATGATATACAGAGATGAATTAAAAAAATCATAACGTCGAAATTTGTAGAAATAAAGAAACGATTTTCAATACATTTATTCTTAGTGAAGTTTACTTTAAAATAGTTCTTATTTCATAGTGATATCTCAATTCATTCATGAGATACAATCCCATAAATTGCGATTTAATCAACGTAACCTTAATACCGCAGAGTTGAATTAGAATAATCGTATCAGCGGGATTTACAGAAACTAAAGAATTATTTTTGTGGTGCAGAAACTATATTAAATTTGCTATAAAATGAACGTAATTTCGTCTTGATATCTCATTTATTTTTTAAGATATGATTTTTCCAAAATTAGCAAATATAAACTTATCCCATCATGAATGGATGATATACAGAGATGAATTAAAAAAATCATAACGTTGAAATTTGTAGAAATAAAGAAACGATTTTCAACTCATTCATTCTTAGTTAAGTTTACTTTAAAATGATTCTTATCTCATGGTCACATCTCAATTCATTCATCAGATGTAATCCCATAAATTTCGATTTAATCAATATAACCTTAATATAGAAAAGTTGAATTAGAATAATCGTATTATCGGGACTGACAAAAACTAACGAATTCTTCTTGTGGTGTAGAAACTATATTAAATTTGCTATAAAATGAACGTTATTGCGTTTTGATATCTCAATTACTTTTTAAGATATAATTTTTCCAAAATTAACAAATATAGACTTATCCCATCATGAATGGATGATATACAGAGATGAATTAAAAAAATCATAACGTCGAAATTTGTAGAAATAAAGAAACGATTTTCAATACATTTATTCTTAGTGAAGTTTACTTTAAAATAGTTCTTATTTCATGGTGATATCTCAATTCATTCATGAGATACAATCCCATAAATTGCGATTTAATCAACGTAACCTTAATACCGCAGAGTTGAATTAGAATAATCGTATCAGCGGGATTTACAGAAACTAAAGAATTATTTTTGTGGTGCAGAAACTATATTAAATTTGCTATTAAATGAACGTTATTTCGTTTTGATATCTCATTTACTTTTTGAGATATAATTTTTCAAAATTAGCAAATATAATCTTATCCCGTCATGAATAGATGATATACAAAGATGAATTAAAAAAATCATAACGTTGAAATTTGTAGAAATAAAGAAACGATTTTCAACACATTTATTCTTAGTTAAGTTTACTTTAAAATAATTCTTATCTCATGTTGATGTCTGAATTCGTTCCTGAGGTACAATCACATAAATTGCGATTTATTTAATATAACCGTCGGCATTTATAGAAACGAAGGAATTATTTTTGGAGTGATGAAACTATATTAAATTTACTATAAAGCGAATTTTATTTCATTTTGATATATATATATATATACATATATCTATTAGTATTTGATAAATGACCAGCAATTGATTTGATGATATGGTTCTTAAACAAAGATGCGATTGAGCTGCTTCTTCTCGACCTATTACTAGTTTATGACGATAGCGAATGAAAACACATTTTATTCGAACATGTTCTAATGAAAATAATGGTCGTTTCATGGTTCAGTTTCCAATTGTCGCACGAATTAAAATTTTCCTATGCAGCAGGAATTTAAAACTTGAATCGCTCGAGAGAAACGAGAACTTTAAAATCGAATATCGACAATTCATTAACGATTACATGAAACTGAGGCACATGTTTTCAATGTTTTCAAATTTAAACATTCATAATTTTTGTTTGCCTCATCACGGCGTTTTTCGTGAATATTCATATAGTTCGACGACAACACTTGAGTTGTTTTTAACGATTCTCACTCAACCTTATTCGAGCTTTCGCTTAATGATTCTTTAAACACTAAAGCTTTAAACTGAACTCGGAGATGTACTTTTGTGGTGAAGTTTTCGCGTGTGGCCTCGAAAAAAATTTATAGGAACATAAATTTCAGTATTTCGAATTAATCCCAGTTTAATTAATTAATATTTCAGGTAATCGCTACTTAGCAATCCCTCGGTAAAGTTTTGATTGTGTATCACCGCAAAGATGTAGGCCGACAATGAAAAACGATTATTGATTGTGAGAATGTGAATTAGTAATGGCAATTTGCTAGCATGAATATTTAATACTGGAAATTGCAATAAATCCGCAAGTTGTATTTACGTAAAGCTCAACACAGTTCAACCCGACGGACATAGGTAGAAATTAGCATATTTTTTTATATTTGCCTAGCAATAAATTCTTCCCCTGAAGCCTCACGATTGTCTGATATGATGATATCAATCTTCTCGGGTGATCAGATAGCTGCAAATAAGAGACATATAAAATATGATTTTTGAGTTCGTAATTCAATGAATTTGGCCAGGAAAATGTAATAAGGCTTCCATTCTGGTTATTGTAATGAAGAAGGGCAGTGTGTAGTTTTAAAATCATAGCAACGAGGTTTGTTGAAAATTAATAACCATTTAAGGCACACTAAATCTGTATTAAATTTGCTTTAAAATGATCTTTAGTTTAGAATCATATCTCAATTCGTTCCTGAGATAGAATTTTTTACATTTCTCATCATAAAATTCATAACAATTAAATGCGCAGTGTTGAGTTAAAAAAATCATAAAAATGAAATTTATTGGAAATTAATCCAACAAACGTTGAAAAGAAGATATAATAATAATGATAAACTTTATTGTGCACCAAAATTATAATGTAGTATTGGTCACAAACGGCGGGTTTCAGACTTTATCTGTTTCAACCAACCTTTTAAAGAAATTAAAATAAACTAAAATAATATAAAAATAAAAAGATAATAATAATAAAGAATTAATAATAAATCATTAATCTACCCACGATATCAAAAGTTATTATCAAGTGTTAGGACAAGC